ATGCTGATGAAGACCATGGCGCAGAGGTCCGGCGCTGCGTCTCGTATCTTGCGCAGGACCCGCGACCTCCCCGCGCGATCGCGGGCTGCAGCCGCGAACGAGAGAGAGGAGGTTGACGACCAGTAAAGAAGAATCCGAGTCTGCTTCGGTCTAACCATCAAAGAGCGATGGCAGGAGGCCACGCATTCGCACGAGGGAGGCCCCGCCTCTACCCCCTGCTCCCGCTGCTGCTGCTGCCGTGCATTGCGCTACGAGAGAGGAGGGCCCAGATTGCTGGCCGTGGGCCAGACGCGTGACGAATTCTCATGCAAAGGTACCCCTAGTTCTCGGGAGGGCTACAAACCGCTGGAAGGGCAGCGGCAATGAGAAGCGGCCGACGGGGAGCAGAACTCCTGATCAATATGACATCACGTATCACCACAGATGTCACTACAGCTCTGCACGGTAAGTTCGCGCGTGCCATGAAGTGGCCTGGACTCCTGGACGCTCTGGGCACTGCCCAGGTGAGCGACTCACCACTCGAACTGGGAGATGGCAGGTTCAGGGTAAGGAGGAGACGGGAGGAAGAGCCAACAAAGAGGAGAAGGACAATACGAGGAGAAAGCTGATGATCAGAGTAAGGGCAATTCGCTCACGCGGACACTTCCAAGGCACGTGTGGGCTGGCCTGCGGCGCACCGCAGCTGCGTGCATATAACTGTACAGTCAACCCGTATCATAAGGATGCGCGATAAGGATGCAAGGGCCTTGGAAGGCCATGTCGACACCTTGCGAGTGGGGCGTGGCTAGCGAAAGCGACCAAGGATGGGCCGACGGGGCAAGGATGCAAGGTGGTACCCTTGGGAACGTTGCCCATCCTTAATATGCGGGTTGACTGTACTTCCTATTCGTGCTGTTCCACATTCTGCCCAAGGCCGCCTCGCGGCGCAACGACCGTGGCGTCAAGCCCAGGCTGCACGGACGCAGGAGTCGGGGATCCACTGACCAGGGTCAATCCAGCCTCGGATTCGGTCGGGGCTTGTGAGATCCTGCAGAATCCTGCAAGCTCCTGCAGGACCCTGCGGGATGCGCCTTTGAGTCAGGGTCAGGGGGGGGAGGGGGGGAGGAGGGGGAGGAGGAGGAGGAGGAGGAGGAGGAGGAGGAGGGAGGAGGAGGAGGAGGAGGAGGAGGAGGAGGAGGAGGAGGAGGAGGAGGAGGAGGAGGAGGGAGGGAGGAGGAGGAGGAGGAGGAGGAGGAGGAGGAGGAGGAGGAGGAGGAGGGGGGGAGGGGGAGGAGGAGGAGGAGGAGGAGGAGGAGGAGGAGGAGGAGGAGGAGGAGGAGGAGGAGGAGAGGAGGGAGGAGGAGGGGGAGGAGGAGGAGGAGGAGGAGGAGGAGGAGGAGGAGGAGGAGGAGGAGGAGGAGGAGGAGCCCTGCAGGATCCTGCCAGAGCCGGCGCTCGGGCCGGCCCCCGTTCTGCAGGGACCCCCGCCTCTCGGGCCCTGCAGGGGCCTGCCGAACCCGCGCCTGGCCCCTCCGGGAGCGAGGCCTGCCGGGCGCGGCAAAGTGCGGGGGGGGGGCGGGAAAAAACGGCAGGGCAGCGGGAGCTGCAGAGCGGGCCCTCTCGAGGGCCCCTGAAAGAGGGGCCCTTGTGGGGCCCCCTCGAGGCACCTGTCCTCCATCCCCTCCAACAAAAATGAGCGTTCAGTCGGGCATGCCCTCCTACAGGCGAATCTTGCAAGACCATGTTTTCCCGATCGAAAAATCAGCAAACTAATCAAACAAATAATCAAATGAGCACGACAAACCGTCCCCAGACTATCATTAAGTATTCTTGCCTACTCCTCCTGTAGAGGGACACGCCCGACTTGAATTCATCGCCCCCCATTAATTCGCGCCCCAGGATGCGGGTGCTGAGCGTTCCAGGGAGAGGTCTCCGAGCTTCCCCTGCGACCCTGGAGGCCTCCAGCTATCCTAGGCACAGAGACGGAGACAGGTCCGCACATACCGAGGCAGTTGACCACATCGGAGGGCCCGCGCGGACCGTCGAAGAACTTCTATGCTGAGTTCGTTTCTTGCTCAATTCCAGAACAGCTCGCGCGGAGCCCCGAGGAGGAGGAGGGGGAGGAGGAGGGGGAGGAGGAGGAGGGGGAGGCGGAGGAGGAGGACGAGGAGGAGGAGGAGGAGGGGGAGGAGGAGGAGGGGGAGGAGGAGGAGGAGGAGGAGGAGGAGGAGGAGGAGGAGGAGGAGGAAATGGAGGAGGGGAGGAGCTTGTGCCGCTTCTCCGCTCCGAGCCTCGCACCCTCTGCCCCTCCCTGGCGCGAAGGTGGCGTCCACCAGCAGCAGCATCTGCCTCCCCGACGCCCGCTGGTGCTCCGAGCACAGCGCCGCGAGCTCGGGGATGTCCGGGACCTGGCTCCACCATCGACCCTCGCCCTTAGCTTCGATGAGAATGTTTGCCGCTTTATTTAGACAGGGTATCTATGTAGACTTTTCCGATCGATTTAGACCTCTACGATCTAAATATGCATTTCCAGCTTTCGGAACTAAATAGGTAGGTTTGTTGCTCACACAATTTCTTATCTAAATCGATGCCCCTAATAACAACATCGTTTTTGAGGAGCCATACTAAACACCGCAAATCACTAACTATGGACACCCTACCAATCCTATCATTGGATTAACCATGTGTTTAACATGTGTACAGCATGCTCTGGAAATGTTTCAAGCATGTTTTCTATGTTTAAAACGTGTTTGAAGCATCATTTAGACATCTGTAAAGTATTTGACATAATGTTTCCTTCCTCTCTATTAACCGACATCCACAACAGTAGCTGTCCTTACAAACGCTGGGGAGGGGCGTTCTTAACCGTTTTCAACTTTTGGTGCTGCAGTCGACCAGAACAGAACAACCACGACAACCCAAAGCATACACAAAACGACACCAGCCGGGGCCCAAACAGAAAAAAACACGGTAGCCCAAAACAAACACAGATCGGAGAGCCAACACATAACAGCCAGCCCACCGACGGGAAGGGGGGAACCCCGCAGACTCCACTTAGCGTGGGCTCCCGTGGGCTCCCCGCAAGTACACGTGGATGGACCCTCGCCTCTCCTCGAGCTGCGAGGCAGGTTCGCGCCGTCCCACTCGAGCTTCACAGAGGGGGGCGGGAGCGGGGGGGCGGGGGCGGGGACGGAAAACATCATGCCGTTGTCAGCCAGCGTGGGCGTGGGCCCCAGGCAGTGATTTCCTACCATGTACGCGGCGCGCTCGAGGCGGTGCACTCAGATTTGTGCGACCTGGGTGGTACAATCCGTGTGGAACACAGCAATGCACAGCAATGCGAAACACTGCGGAGCATTGCAAATCAACGCAAGCAAAGCACATCGATGCAACGCAACGCGACTGCGAAGCATTTCACAAAGCAGTGCAAAGCCACACGAGCGCGACGCAAAAGCAGCACGAGATCATGCAACAACGAAAGCGAGCCGACTGCAGAGTCATGCAGAGCGCCACGACGCACACCAGTGCAACAGAACGCAGGCCCAAGCGGCATGCACCTCTCTCTCCCCTGGGCTACCGCTACCACTCGCCCCGACCACCGCCCCCGATCTGCGGACGCGCCCGAGCCCCCGCTTCGAGGGCCCCATGGAGGCCGAACGCGGCCACGGGCCGCCCGCTCCAGATCTTTGCTGTCGCAGCGTCGAGCGCCGGGGACCTCCAGGACTGGGGCCCGTGGCGACCGCGCGCGCTGCCGCGCTCCGCAGCCTGCCGCTGCCTGCACCGCCCTCCTCCGCCGCACTGCCTCCTCCGCCGCACTCCCTCCTCCCCCCACCCTTCTTGGGCGCCGCTCGGCTGCGCGCAGGGGAGTGCCCCCCCTTGGCAGGAGGTGGCTTCCCGCACCTGCGTCCGACTTCTTGCATGCTGTCCGCTCTGGATGTCTTCGGCCTCTCAAACTTGTGCCCCAGCTGCGGCGTGTTTGGACGCCCGACATGGGTACGGAAAGAATGGGTACAATGCCCAACAGCAGTTCTTGCTCATTTTGAACAGGATTCGCTGTCGGTGTCGCCGCGGCCTGTGTACATTTGAGACAGAGGGCCGCCTGCCCAACAGCGGCCGCTGTTGGTTTGGGACAACATTTGTTGTTGGGCATTGTTCCCATTCTGTCCGTGCCCATTTCGGGCGTCCAAAGCGTTGGCCCCATTTCAGAATCGGCGCGCTCTTCCCGTCGTTCAGACTGGCGGTCTCGCGCCAGCGCGGGCCACACTTCCGGATCCAATCCCTCCCTAGCCGTTGTCGCCCCACCTTTCCCCTCCTCCGCCTTCCCTCCGTAGGCGCGCAAGCCGCTGCCACTGCTTCGCGCTCGGCCATCGGGGATCCCTTCCGGCGAGAGGCCACTCTCACGTCTAGCCGAGTCGCTTATCATAGCGTGTGACCAACGGGGGCGGGGAGAAAAGGACACTCGCTGCTCGGGGCGCGGAGGCCCCCCAGTGGGGCCCGAGAGGGCCCCTCTGCGGGCCCTCAACAAAAGCCCCATTTCTGCAGCCCTCGCTGCCCCCTCTTACATGGAGCCCCCCCCCCCTGCGCGACGCCCGCTCCCCCTCTCGCTGCCGTTCCGTCCCGCCCGCCCCGACCGAGCCCCGATCCCCGATGCGAGAAGGACGGCTGTCGCGCTGGGAGGAAGGACCTGGGAAGATGCAGGGCGCGACTGTGTACTCTACCCTGAGATCCTGGCTTTGCATTTTTTGTCACACCGAGCGTTTTCGCCCAGCTTCGGGCCCCGGGACCCTCACAGATCGGTCTGGCTCGAGAGGTGGTGGTGCAGAAAAATTAGGGTTCGGAGCTCTGGTGGCCATTTTTGGCGACGTTGCATGTTTTTGCAACGTCGCTTCTAAACGCCTTCAACCGACTCGATGATACGGCTGAGCTGGCCCTTTCTCCCGACCCCGTTTGTCTTCCAGCGATGTCTTGGAGGGGAGGAGGGGGAGCGGACACCGCAGCACGACGACAAGCTCGGCGACGCCACAGACGCTGCGCACGCGAGTGGGAGCGAAATACGTCCAGCAACGTAGAGGGGCTGCCCCGCAAGAGATGACGCATTTAGAAGGCCTCTGTAAGACAGCAGGCTCAAAGCTGAGACGAAGAATTGCGAGAAATTGAAGCACTGTGCATTTTTTCCCGACCCCACACAGGCCTCGAGCAAAAATGCGAACACGCATGCCACACTCGTCTGGCAACGCATCCCCCTCCCCCGAATGTTCAAAGTTGGCGGTGGGCCTGATGAGTTGCACCTCCACCGCAGTCTCCCCCGCGCGTGCCAACTTTGAGTTTGGGGGGAAGGGGGAGTGTTCAGTAAATGTGTCCCTCTACAGTCGGACTTGATTGGAGAGGACACGCGAGAGGACACGAGACCCTTCCGAGGGCCACGCTGCCACAGAAATGCAGGAAGGAGACACGGGTCGCAAAACACAGGCCACGAGGGTACCCTTGATCTGGCAGGGTCCACCTACCAATCCAGGCCGCCTGCACCGTTTTGGGCGACCGAAAAGGGGGTCCAGCTGCAAGGGGGTGGTGCAATAGATTTGGGGCAATTGTATTGCAAATGTATTGTGCTGGAGAGTTGTATTGCAAGTAACGTATTGCACGCGAAAATCAAGCAATATATTTGCGCACCGGAATGTATTGCACGTCCCGAATGTATTGCAACCCCACGAATCTGTTGCACCAAATCTATTGCACCATCCCCTTGTCGTTGGACCCCCTTTTGGGTCAACCCGAACCGCATCCCCTCACCACGACACTCGTTTTTCTGCCTCTGCGGGTGCGCTCCGGCCACGGCTCCGCGGCGCCTCCGGCCGTGGCCGCGAGCAGGCCCCCCCCAAGGAGGCCCTTCTGGACACCTTCTCCTCCTATCTGGGGGTCCCGGCAACTCGGCGAGCGACCGCGGCGCGGGAGGGCAGCTAGGCGCCGCGGAGGCATGTGAAGAGGCCCAGGGACACACAAACAAACACACACACAAATCCCAGGACTCCCCACATTTTCGATATTTTCTGGAGTTCCGTTTCCCCCCCTCCTCTTCGCCTATTTCCCAATACTTTTCCGGGGGCCGCCGATCAATTGCGTCTGTGTTTTTGTTTTTCCCCTTCCTGAGGCAGGGAGGGGGGACGAAGGCGGCCGTGGACTGGCAACACGCAAGAGTCACCCTTGGCACGAGTGACCTCTGGTGCGCGGCTTCAGTGACGACCCACCAGGTCACCCCATCCAGCCCGAAGCTGCTGTTGTTGGGCTCGTTGATTTCTGGCGGGGGGGCGCTCCAGGAGCACCGAGGACAATCGATGGCACCCGCACGCCCCCCGAGCCGAGATTCGTATTCGCGATGGTCTATGGCTTTCGGGTTGGGAGTTCGCGATGGTCTAGGGCCTTCGGGTTGGCAAGTCATGTTTTAGGGCGCCGCTGCAAGGGCCAGAACCAACCAGTCGAAGCGCACCAGCTTGTACTGGCGGGGCCCCTGTGTGACCGCACTGAATGTCACTCTGGCGAAGGGTCACTACTAGAGGCCTCCTGGATTGGGTCCGAGTATATGGGGTCAGAGGATCGCGCCGCATCGGCGATTGCACCTGCGATGCATCAGCGACGTCGGCGATGCATCGGCGACGCCGGCGTGGGGAAAATCGGGCTCTACATCGAGCCGTATCGTCGATGCATTGGCGATGCGGCGCGATCCTCCGACCCTATCTACTCCGACACCACCTAGGAGGCCCAGAGTCACCCTTACGCCAAGCCGAGAGGAGGGGGAGTGCGGATCTGGCGAGGCGCTCAGAATGTGCACTCCGATACGCCGGTGCAGCGACCCAGGCTCTGGGTAGGAGTTGTGCGCCCCCCCCCCCCTCCAGGAATCAAGGCAGCATCCGAAAACCTCGATCCTCGAACCTCGAGCCCTCCATGCACCAGGGCATCCATTTGGGGATTGATCCCCAGATACAGTCAACCCGTAGCATAAGGATGCGCGATAAGGATGCAAAGGCCTTGGAAGGTCATGTCGACACCTTGCGAGTGGGGCGCGGCCAGCGAAAGCGGCCAAGTATGGGTCGAAGGGGCAAGGATGCAAGGGTACCTTTGGGAAGGTTGCCCATCCTTATTATGTGGGTTTACTGTATCTCCAAAAAACGTCCCTGGACGTATCTGGACGCCTAGCCTCCAGGGGTCCTCAAGACGGCCCCGAACAGCAAGCAACGCAACATTCCTCCTGCCCCCCCTCTCCTCCTCCTCCTCCTCCTCCTCCTTCTCCTCCTCCTCCTCCTCCTCCTCCCTCCTCCTCCTTCTTCCTCCTCCTCCTCTCCTCCTCCTCCTCTCCTCCTCCTCCTCCTCCTCCTCCTCCTCCTCTCCTCTCTCCTCCTCCTCCCTCCTCCTCCTTCCTCCTCCTCCTCCTCCACCTCCATCGAGCGGGCATAGCCTTCATGTCTGGATTCGTGGGGATCTCGAGGAACACGACGGTGGTGGGCAGCAGCTGGTCGCGCGCCTGAGGCCAGCAGGAGCGCAGCCAGAACGGAGACCGCCCAGACTGAGGCCAGAGCCACTGGCGTCGGAGGATCGCACCGCATTGGCGATGCATCAGCGACGTCGGGGGGATGGCGAAGCTCGTGTTCAGGATCGCACCGCATCGCCCGCGACGCGGCCCGATCCTCCGACCGCATCTGCTCCGGCCTCATGAGGACGGCCTGGGCTTCAGGGGATGCAAGCAGGCAGGATCTGCTGTTGGCTCATGGTTAGCTGCTCGACGCGGCTGTTGTTGATGTTATTGTGATCGCCCTTTTCGAGCTTCTGGAGGCCTTCTCCAGAAGCCTCCGCAGAGACATCTGGCGACCTGTGGGGTCGCACGGGCACTGCACACCACCGAAGCAGGATCCGGTGGCTTGCGCGAGCCGCCGGCGCGGCACGCCACATTTGGCAACGGGGGCGCTCTCACGCGCGCGACCTCGCGCGGGCAGCTTGCCCGCCGGTGGTGCACGTTTTTAAAAATTCGGCGGCGTTTCGACATTGGGCAGAATGGGGGGGGGAGAGGGGGTCTGGCTCTGGACCTCTGCTGACTGCGACTGTTTGGAACCGTGCGGCCCCTGGGGGAGACTCCACCTGCTTGAAACAGGCGCCAAAAACGGCCACGATCTCCTCCATGGGGGGGGGACGCGAGGGCCCGCGCCGATCGGCAAAACAATGGAGAAGAAAACGACCACCAATGTCGGCGCAGACGGCCCCGTCGTTTGGCGCCGCTCGCGTGGTTGCCGTCCTGGCGGTGCTCATCGCTCGCGCTGCCAGCCTGCAGGCGCCGTCGCGCGCCAAAGGTTGAGCAGGGATCGACCGTCCCAGCATTCCTATAGGCCTACACGACATGTTCTTCGAACTCAAAAGTGCTCTAATCACAAAAACAATGTTCTTAGAACACAAGCCGATGAGTGAAAGCAAGACAAGTTCAATCAGAAACGTTCTGAGAACATGTCGCGCAGACCACACAGAGGATTCTTGGCAGGCCTATAGGCACGCCAGGACACTTCGCCACTGCTTGAGAAGGGGGGGGGGGCGCCCGCGGCCAGACGGCGAGGGGCGCGCGCGCCGTGCGCCTCCGCGAGCCTGGCCAGCTCCGCCCGGATGCTCGGCACGACGCCCGCGCTGCCCTGGATGTGGAAGCTGTGCTTCTGGAACCTGGCCGCCGTCCTGGGAGCACGGCAAGAACCCAGGGAGCCGACGCACCGGCAAAGCGGGAGCGGGCGGTTTGGGGCCGGTTTCGGCCTCTGGGGCCCTCGCAGGGCCTCGGGAGCGTCTCGGGACGAAAAACCGGCCCTGGGAAGTGGTCCGGACCTCCGGGGCCCACGCATCGAAAACATGGGAGCAGCTGGATGGGATCGGCCTTCTGGGAGTAGAAGTCGAAACAAGCCACACAAACATAAGCCTTTGGCGCTCCGCGCGGACTTCTCGGATTCGCGCTGGACCCCCCTCGCTGGCGCGGAGCGCGCCAGAGGCGGCGACGGAGGCGCCGCCTGGGAGCCCAGAACGCGCGGGGGAGAGAGAGCACTGGCCATCGCTCGGACGTCCATTCCCTGTGCTTTTTTCGGTTTCGTGCGTGGCTTTTCACCAAATGAGCGAGGATGCTCCTCGATGGTCCTCGCCGAAGGAAAAATGCACACGTCCGAGCGATGCCAAGAGCAATGCACGCGCGGGGGAGAGGGCAAGCGCACGTGTCGGAGGAGGCCTGGCCGAGGCAAGACGGCGGCCCGCTCCTGGCGCGTGAATCTCCCCCGTGTTTGCTGGGCCCCTGTTGGAGGCCTCCCTGGGTGGGCGGCCGGACCTGCCCCGATAACGGGCCAAGGGTGGGTCTCCCTGGGTCGGGGGCCCCAGCGACCGATTTGGCGGCGTGCAGAGGGGGCCCGCAGGGGGAGGGGGGAAGGCTTCTTAGAAGCACCCCTGCCTCTTACAAGGCGCCCGCCCTACATCTGCAGGCAAGGCCCGCGACTTCTGAGAAGCAGGGGTGCTTCTAAGAAGCCTTCCCCCTCTCCTTGCCCCCCTGTGCGCGCCGCCAACCTTCGGTTGCTCCAGTCGTACTCAAGGAGCACATCCCATAAGTAACTTCGAGCACCCAAAAAAGTATCGAAACAATGTCGAACGGGTATCGCCTTCCAGGGCCCGACACGTGAAAACCCTCAAGTTGTGGTCCCCTGGAGGTGCGCGAAATTCTTTCTGGCGGTCAAAGCTAAAGTAGACTGGAACAAGATAACGCCAACCGATGTCGACCGGCTTGGGACCGGGCGGGTGCGTTGCCGCTGTCTCAACGGGCCCCTCCCCTCCTATTTAGCACGGGCTGCCGCTCGGCCGCGGCAGGGCCGCAGCAGTCTGGCCCCGGCACCGCGAGGCCCCTCGGAGGGCCAGAGAGGCTCCCGAGCTCCTCTCTCGGATACACGCAAGAGTTGCGGGCTTGCGGGCCCCAAGAATATACACCACCACCACCACCACCACCACGTCGACTCGTCCTCCC